GTAATGAAAAAGAAAAAAGACACTTCATGTATCGATTGTGACAATGAATCAAACGCTCTTTTCAGGCTGTCACGTTGAGGACTTACCCGGCCGAGCTCTCACTCACAGCATGGATATGTCTGATGGGGACAATCGAAGGAACCGCGGTGGCATTAGTGATGGAGAAAGGAAATCCCGGCGCGTGGGCCATTGGTTGGGACACTAAACTTCTTACAGCAACTTATAGTGTAAGATTCAGACATTTCCCAAGTAAACAAGTGACACAAGGACTTGCTTGTAGGCTAATTTTGTCTAATAAATTATATTTTTGGAATTTAAAATGTATGCAGGGGATAGTGTGCTCAGCAATAGCTTACTACATTGGAGGAATGGTGATGAAAACCAGAGGCCCTGTGTTTGTAACAGCTTTTAGTCCTCTCTGTATGATCATAGTAGCGATTATGTCGACCATCATCTTTGCTGAGCAGATGTACCTAGGAAGAGTTCTTGGTGCGGCGGTTATATGTGCAGGACTATATCTTGTGATATGGGGCAAAGGTAAAGATATTGAGTATCCTTCCACGCCGAAAATAGATGATGAATCAGCACAACCAAAGCTAGAACTAAGCGGAAACAGGAATGATAGTGTTGATCATGAAGTCATTACTATCAATAAGCAAGGAGAACAAAGAAGAACAGTTGTAGAAACAGTCTAACTTAACAGCACCGGGACGAATGTTTTGCATGGAGGAGTCAGAAAGTATAGCAATTTCATTTCTTGTCCACTATATGTCTCAGAGCAACTGTAAGAAAGATTGCTAACTACCATGGGAGGAAAATAACTATCCAAAAGAAAAAGAGATTCCAAAAAGAAATGATGAAACTATTGGATTAATGCAATACACAATGAATATGATCATTATAGTGTATTGGCTACAACAAAATTGTTTTCACATTTATACTCCAGAGGATATATATTGACAATAAAGTTACCATTATCATGAAAAATGAACTGTTTTAACCTCCTCATTACTTCACTATTCATTAAAGAGATTAGTAATGGCAATATTATACCACGTCGAGTTACCATTGTGTAGGAACAGACAAAAAAGATTGCATTGGAGCTGTATAGATTTTCTACAGTGCAATATTATATAAACCAGTCTTTAATCATGACTAGTAAACCTTGCAAATTCCGGGTTTCTTTGACGACAAAGAGCAAAAAATTTCACATGAAGTATAAAGTTTCTACTAGAAACATAGTGAACAAACTAAGAAGTAAATTAAGTATCTAACCACACTCATTTGACCAGAAATGGTGTCACGCTTTAAGTACATTAAAAATCTTGGTGAATGGGCTACTTGATTGATGGCTACACTCACCATGAGAGATTAATCGGTTGATAAAAGTTTAGATCGTCCCTAATTATT